ATATGATATGAAGGGCATGTGGTCCCATTATACTTCTCAAAATCTGGAACCTTGAACTTTGGTGGAATAACCAGGCCAGGGACCAAACTTAGTTCTTTGGCGTCAAACCCATAAAATGCCTCAACTGTCTCTATAGATTTTATCACCTCTTCTATATTTTCCAGTAGTTGAGTGAATTTTTCCTTCTCAACTGATTTGTTTAGGTCAAGGACCTCATTACAAAATTCATCAGGCTTCAACTCAGAAGTAGTAGGACAATCAGTGGGGAAAGATGCTCCAGCTTGATATGGTGAGTTCTTAACAGCAAAATAAATTGGTGACTGAATTTCCTGGGGTACAGAGGTGAACTCAGGAATATGAACAGGTGTAACACCCAAAGAATTTGTGGGGTTTTCAACAAGACTCTTTCCAGCAGTCAAATGCTTATCAATCATTTCTTTCATATTGTTCAGTAGATCGATCTGAGAATTAGCTTCGATTTGTGCCAACTTGCTCCTCAATTCCTCTTGTATTTCTTTCTGTTTTATCTCAAATTTGGCTAGCCTATCTTCAGTTTCTTTAGACATTTTTCTTGTGTCGTGCTGAGCGTTCTTGCTTCAAGGAAAAACCAAGATCACTTCGTTTGAAATCCTTATTTTAATGAATGAATGTTTTAATGTATTATGTCATAAAAAATGCAAAGATGCCAAATGCAAATGTAAATATGTGAATGTAATAATAAGAATACAAATTGTGCAATACAAATGCAAAGATGCCAAATGTAAATATGCAAATGTAAAAATGTAAATGTAAATTATTTAAAATACCAGAATAGGACATCCAGTTATATTAAGACTGCCCTTTTCTTTGATATTGAAAATAAATAAACATTATTATTTAATTAAATATATTTTAATGCATGATGTAAATTTAAAAATGTAAATGTAAATACAAACGTAAAAATGTACAAATGCAAAATACAAATGCATGTATGAAAAGGGGTTACTCAAGAGTGATCATCTTAGAACAGATTTCATTGAACGCAAAAGTTTCGGTACATCAAACAAAACTTTACATATAGGGATATATTTCATTCCTAACTTCTCCAAAGCCAAATTAGTCTATCAACTTAAGGGACATTGCTTGTCTGGACTGCAACCTCTTCCATGACATTCTCTTTCATTTTCTGTGTCACTTCTCGGAGTTGCTCATTTTCCCTTGTAAGAGATCTTTTCTGTCCAAGAAGTTCTTGAACAAGATCTTCATATATGTTGCAGTTCTTTTTCAGCTTGGTGACCCCTGCTATCCATTCTTCTGGGGTACTTCCTAGGCCAACATTTTGAAAGGTTTGACTGATCTTCTGAAAATCTTCATGCATGGTTTTCATTTCTGTGCTCAATTTCTCGTTTTGGTCGTTCAAGTCCTTCAAATAACATGCTTGAGCTTCATAAAAATCTCCACTACTCTGAATGTCCCGACTTATACTCTTACCATAGACTGCTTTTGGTATCAATCTGGCAGAATCTTTATGGATTACTTTTGGTATTAATATAACCGGTTCTCTGTGTGCAGAACTTCCTTCGATCCTCGTAGTTTCTTCAGGATGTCTTTCCTTGGTCGTATCATATTTTGTTTGATCATAAAACTTTTTGTACATTTCCGATTTCTTTCCAATATGATGAACAGTCTTTCAAGCCAACACCTTTTGGTTATGCCATGATCATGTAATGCAAACAAAAGAAATCAATATGAACATATTAGAGCAATGTAATATGCATGAAAAAAATAGAATAGTTAGTACCAACTAAAAAAATCTATTTATCAATGTATAAATCTTAACCTTATGCTTTCTAGTTCCATGCTTTGTTTGGAAAATTTAACCTAACCGCACGATTTCTAGTTCGCATGCATTTATTCAGGAAAAGGAAATAAAATAAATTAAAAGCTAGAGCTTATTTCTCCTTTGTGTATACCTACTGACAAAATTTCGGCATGGTTTCAGATCGGGAGAGTTTCTAGGGTTTATTATATGCAGGTTTTTAGTTCTAGGAGTAAAGGTACTCGAACTGTCCTTGTTGATGCCCCCTTGGGCTATCAAACCCTCAATCCTAGTCCATTACAGACTTAAACGGACCGAGTTCAATTCGAGGGGATACATTTCTCTATGACTAACACGGAGAATAAATTCTCACGAAGACATAGAGCATAAAGTTACTTGCTAGGTCTGACACGGAGAATAAATTCTCACGAAGACGTCGCTTTCACTCCCACTTAAAAGGGACAACTCAATTATAGAGTTTTATGTTATGCAATGCAAGTGTTGTGTGTGAGGAGAAATATTCATACCTCTGACAAAATAAATAATGAAATAAAATACTTACAAATAAAATAAAACATATAAATATTATGAAAATAATAAGTAAATATAAAAATTTTGAAAAGAAAGAATTAAAAATTAAATATATTAACTTTTAATTTTTAATTAATAGAGACAATTTATAATTGATTTTTAAAAGTTTGACCGTTCCCCAGCGGAGTCGCCAAGCTGTCGTAACCGGTTTTTGTCCGGGCACGAAATATTAAATTTGGCGGGGAAATTGATGTGAATAAATAATTTTGAAAATAATTTGTGAGTCGCCATCGGCCTTTTGGGTCAGGTAGGTCGAATACCTAAAAAATATCTTTTGAAAGAGTTTTTAAGAAAACATCAATTAAAAGATAAACTGATATGCGTTTTAACCAAAAATTCGTTCTTTTTAATAATAAAAAGGGATTCGTGGTCGGTTACGTTTAGGGAAGGATTAGCACCCCTATAACGCCCAAAATTGGTACTTTTTAATTATAAATTGTCTCTATTATTAAAATTTAAAAATTCAAAAAAAATATATTTAATTTATAATTCTATTATTTCAAAATTATATAAAAAATATTTATTTATTTAAAAATATCAGAAAAGAACTTCTAGGTGCCTTAAGACAGCTCTTTTCTTTGATATTGATAAATATTAATTTAAATAATATTGTTTAAAAAATATCAGAATAGGACATCCAGTTGTATTAAGACTGTCCTTTTCTTCGATATTAAAAATAAACATTAAAATTTATTCCAGATTTATTATATATATATATTTATGAATACATAAAAATATTAAAAAATATAAACAAATAAAATTAAAACAATAAAAATACCACTAAAACAATATATTTTAAAAGCAATAAAATAAATGAAAACTTATAAATTAAATGACTAAATTATAGTAAAAATGAAATTAAAAACTTAATTCAATATTAATCAAAGTTATAAGGATTAAATATGCTATTTCTTTATTTTATTTATTTAGTGACTAAAATAAAATTATCTAAAATTCGGATATTATAATAAAATAAATTAAAAATATAAACTAAGGATTAAAATATTATCTATTAAAATTAAGGGATTAAATCTGCTATTTATCCTAAATATATTATTTTAATATAAAGGACTAAAATGAATAAAATTAAAATTAAAGAACCAAATTAAAAGGATTATAAATTTGATTTAGTGACTAAAATGTAAAGTTTACAAATTGGGATGACTGCGGACGTGGTTTAACTATTTTATAATTACACGCATAGTCCTTCCCGAAACGACGTCGTTCGGGAAGGCCTATATATGGTCCAAAACCGGCTGGCCCGAAGGGCCAGCCTTCATTTTTCATTTCACTCTCTCTCTCTAAACTGAGAGAGTTTTAAAACTCTCTCGCCTCTCTCTAGCTTCCCTCACCGGAGGGAAGCCGGTCACCGGACGGCAACCGTGTGCCGCCGTGATTATCACCGCCGGCCACCGCATCCGGTGGCCGGGAAAAAAATTTTTTATACTAATAGATAGATCGGACCGTCCTAAGGACGGTTCCGGTATTATTTCCTCCTAAAAAGCTCCCAATCGGAGCGAATCTACAAAAGTACCTTCGGTGTTTCGAAGGTTCCGGTGAGATCCGGTGACGGTTGGGGTTCTCCGATGACAGGGTAAGCTTCTTTCCTCTCTTCTCTCTTTTTTCCTTGCTGCGTTGATGCTGACTGAGATCGTTGGTTTAGTTGTTTTTTTTTTCTTTCTCTGTTTTTTTTTCTTTCTCTCCGGTTCAGTCTCCGTTTTTTTTTTCTTTTTCTGTTTTTGTTGGTTCTCCTCTTGTTGTCGTTTGCTGTCTTTTCTTTGTTCCGTTTGCTGTTGATGGTTTTCTTTGCAGATGTTTGATGGCTTTTATAGTCATCGTCGATGTCCTCTTCGGACCGGTCTCAAATGGTGACCCTAGGTGAGTCACCGGACTATGGTGGTGACTCACCATAGGGTCTCAACGTGGGGCGGAAACGAGGTGCTTCTGGAGGCTTCAGTTGAAGGTGGCTTCATGGAGGTGTGGCAGCTGACTGAGACACCGACATGGGGCGGCTGGAGGCAGAGGCGACGCCGCGTGGTCCCTAGGGTATCATAACCCTAGGGTTTTTTGCTGGACTGCATCAGGGCCGTTGGATCATATTAGATCCAACGGCTGAGGATCTGCGGCGGCTGGGACTTAGATACAAACCCTAAATGGGTTTAGGGTTACACATTTGAGCCACTGGATTGGGCCGGATTTGGCCCGTTTGTAATAATAATTAATAATAATATTAGTAATAAATAATAATATTAGTAATTATAATTATAATAATAATTATAATAATAATAATAATAATAATATTTAAATGAAAAAAATAAGTATCTTCAACTACCATGTAAAGAAACGGGCTTTTGGTTGAGAAAAAAAAAAACAGTGATCTTGTGCAAACTCTTTTGATATATGTTTTAATTGTTTTGACAATGACTAATTATTTTTCCTCAGCTTTACGTTTACCTTTCTCTCTTTAGAGTTGACGGTATTTTCTTTGCCTTTTTTCCATTGCCAGCTGTTTTGGAATCTCCTCATCGAATTCCTAGTGTTCCTGCTTCAACTTTTCATTGTTTTATGTCATTTAAGTTTGTTCATTATTTTGTAGATTTTTGTACAAGGAGAAGATCTGCTTTTCTTCTAGCTCTTTCGATATCCTTCAATGAAGTGTTTTGACTATTTCATGGACAAGTTTATAAACAAGGGGCAAAGTTCTGCCTCAGATTCGAAAGAAAGAAAATCCGATGGATATTCATCATTCCTGGCAACGCCTCCACTTAGTATACCGGAGTTGACCGCAGCAAAAGCTCGCAGTTTGAGGGTCTTCTCTTTCTCTGAGCTTAGAGAAGCCACCCGTAATTTCAATCGGCGAATTATGATTGGCGAAGGCGGCTTTGGGAAGGTCTACAAAGGTAAAATCAAGGCTGCTGAAGGGAAGGGTGTGCCTTTGGTGGTTGCTATTAAGAAACTTGAAGAGAATAGTTTTCAGGTATGCCCTTTTGCTCTGCTTGGGAACCAAGAAAAGTTCGCTTTTTCCCCACCGTACCTGCTCGAGAAATGCATTTTCCGACTATATTACTTAAGGCTTTTCTCTGCCTCATTTCATGCTGCAGTTTGATCTTCCATATTCAGGAAATAGGTAGGTTAACAACAGCACTCTTTTGTCATATTGGCAAGGAACTTGTTGATAATATCTTAGTGCTAAACTGCGGACATAATGCAAAGTTACGGCGGCATTATAACTGTTTGTAAGATCACTGCGACACTGCAATTTAAAAGTATAGTGATTTTTGGGAAACAATTCACATCATAACATTCGCAACCTTAACATTATGATCTCATAAGTAATCGCTTCTGCAACCGTAATTTAGTACTAAGGATATACTACCACCCACACTTATATCTGCTCTTTCTTGAATGGTAACAGATCATAAGACTTGTGTTTGATCCATATAGGGACATAGGGAATGGTTGACAGAAGTTCGTTTTCTCAGAGTTCTCGAGCACCCCAATGTCATCAAACTCATTGGATATTGTGTTGTAGATGGAGAAAGAGACATCCAGTGTCTTTTGGTGTATGAGTTTATGCAAAATAAGAGCTTAGCAGACCATCTTTTCAATCACGAGTTCCCACCTCTTCGCTGGAAAACAAGATTACAAATAATACTTGGAGCGGCACGAGCATTAGCATACCTGCACGAGGAATTAACAGTTCAGGTTCCTTTCTATCTAAAACACTAACTATGCATTTTTCTTTTTGCTGTTCGTCAGATTCTGGTTATCTAAATCCATGTTTCGATAACAATGCAAGGTAATACATCGAGACTTCAAACCCAGCGATGTGTTATTGGATGAGAAGTTTAATCCTAAGCTTTCGGACTTTGGGTTGGCAAGGGAGGGGCCAATGGCTGGGGATTCGCATGTTTCAACACGAGTTAGTATTTACATTCTGTTTGGTTAGACAGCATGATACATGCTTTTATGTTGCTGTTAGGATGATAGTAAATTAGTAACAAGGCTTTATTACTTGTAATCAGGTAATGGGGACTTACGGTTATGCTGCTCCTGAATACATCATGACCGGACATCTGTCATGTAAGAGTGATGTATGGAGTTTTGGTGTGGTGTTATATGAGATTCTTTCAGGTAGGCGGTCCACAGATGTCAAGCGCCCAATATCAGAGCGGAGTTTGGTGGAATGGGTGAAACGGTTCCCTGCTACCCGTCAAAGGATTAGATTTATAATGGATCCTCGACTTGAAAACCAGTATTCGATTGATGCAGCTAATAAAATTGCTAAGTTGGCAGATACTTGTTTATCAACAAGTCCCGAGGATCGGCCCAAGATGAGTGAGGTGGTGAAAAGACTAATGCACATAATCAGAGTTTCAGAGAAAATGAAGAATCATCGTGAGGCATCTGAAACAGAAGCAGCTGAAACAATATCGGAATCTTTGAAGCGGAAGATGCCACACATTGCAGAGGAAAGTGAGAAAGATGAAGACATAAACGCGTTACGAGCCATTAAATATGCATTAGAGAGCTTGTTAAAAGCTGAAAGGAAGGGGAAAGCTTTATTGATTATTGAATCAGACTCAGCTACTGCAGTTAAATGGATAGAGGATGATGAGTCCAGACCCAGTAAGTTGTGGCGTATGCTCATGGATATTGACTCTCTTATTTCTCAAATTGGTACTGTTGTGTTCAATATTCTTTCTAAAAGAAACGAACACCATTGAAGATTGTTTGGTGAAAGATGAAGTTGTAAGATCTCCTAAGTTGTGTGCTTGGTGGTGAAATCTAGGTAGTAACATTGATCCTGCTATGAGGGTTCATTGCCTCGTCTGCTTGTAATGCTATTTCCATTTTTATCGTTGATCATAAATTAAAAACTTTTGTAAACAAGAGTATAACTATTGTTGTAATAGTAATTAAAAATAGCTTAAAATAAAATTAAAATCAATAATGACATATCAATGATATCATTGTAAAATGAAATTTCCATATTGGATCATGTAATATTTTATTTAAAAGATATGTGTAAGCTTTAATATTTAAAAAGTATTATATAAAATAAAATTAAACAAACATAATATTATATTATCTCATCATTTTTTTAAGTGATATTTCATCTCTTTTGATATTATTATCATTAAAATATAACTTGACATTTTCTCTTCATAAAATAATAAATTTGATGCTCGATTCTCTTTGACATACTTTTAATTTATTAATACTAATAAATTATTTTCAATTATTTTTTAGATGTTATTCAATTGATAGAATGGTTCCAACACTAAACCATAGATTACTAGAAAGATTAGAGTATTGGGTTTCCAAAGAAGCAGGGGCATTTCTCTCAAATAACACTGCAAATTGTTCAAACAAAGAAAGCATATTAAGTAAAGAGATTAAATCATAAAAAAATATTATTAAAATAATAATTATTATTATATTGATATTCTATAATGATTGGAGAGATATATTGTTTAAATCTACTTATAATAAACATAAAACAAAGAAAAAAATGGAAGAAACAAAAAAATATATATATAAAGTTTTGGATTAATATGCATGAAGAGAAAATTTATCGTAAGAATTGAAATTACATAAATGTTCTATGGTGTTTAAGGAATAAATAATTTAAATTTAATAAAAATTAACTTTAAATGAGAGAAAAATAGGAGAAACAACAAAATTAAAGACAAAGCAAAACAGTTTAATTAATTAATTATAAATTAAAATAATATTATATTTTCGTTTTTCAATTATTCAATCTATAAATTTTAACTCGATTTAAACTCAAAATATAAATAAAAAAACCAAAATTAATACACATAACGTAAATAACTTAGATAATTAAAAATAACAATTTTATCAAATAGAATCGAATTTAACAACTCTGTGTAAGGGTGTAATTGGTTCGATTAGCGGCTTTTTCAAAAATTGAAACCGAATAGTTTGATTTGAACAAACGATTTTCATGTGAAAAAATCTAAACTAAACCAAATTATATAATTATATTTTTAAGTGGAACTGAAACTAAACCACAAAATGAAGAACTCGAGCCAAAACAAATCGCATAGCTCGGTTCGAATCGGTTTTTCGGTTTAGTTACTCAGCCCTACCTCTGTCCACCAACTGCAGTTATGATGAAGTAGAAATAAGGAGTTTCCTATTGGACAGGACCAAAACACACGAGAAGAAGAAAACAGCAGAAACAAAGGCCGTGTGGTAGAGAAAACTGGAAAGCAAAAGGCCAAGCCATAGACTCCAGAAACAGAGTACGTAGTTAAGGTAGGTTTCCTCTAAACATTTATTTGTTAGTTTCCTTATCGTCTTCAATTTGACAATTTGCATGTCTACTTTGAAAACCTACTCGTTTGGATTTCAATCGTTGAATTCTTGCATATCTAAATGAAGTTTGCACTTTGAAAGAAAAGCATTAGATTTTTCAAAGCTTTGAAGAAACAATCCTTGGCAACTAAAAACCCAACCAAAGCATTAGTTTTTTCAAAGCTTTGCAAGAAACGGAATGACAACTTTCACGACACTCTCCCAAACCAAACCCTCTTTTACTGGAAAGAATTGTCAAGCAAGTAAAGAAATGAGGTACGTCATTACCAACTTCATTTCTCTATGTTTACTTTTGCTGTATTTTCTAGAACGTTGTTTTTTCTTTTGGTTTCTCACGCGTTGACATAATCTTGTTTCCTTGATCGGGTTTGTTTTATTTTTCTCATCTTCAACCTTCTTGCTTTTCATTTACCTTCTTTTTTCTTTACAAGGTATTTTGTTTGCCTTGTCCAATTCCCCATTGTTAATCATCTTTCTTTGGTGCTTCAACTCTTCATTGGTTTGCGTTGTTTTGCAGTTTTGTTCTTAGTGGGAGAAGATTTGTTTTTGTTTGAGCGCTTTTAAATATCCGGTAATGAAGTGTTTCCACTATTTCAAGGACAAGTCTAGAAGCAAGGGGCAAAGATCAGCCCCGGAGTTGAGACAGGAAAGGAGATCGGAGGGATTTTCAGGGCCTGACCGGATCACAAAGTCCTCGTGTTCAGGCTCAGTTGCTTCTCCGCGTAGCATACCGGAGTTGTACGAAGCAAAAGCTCCCAATTTGAGGGTCTTCTCTTTCTCGGAGCTTAAACAAGCCACACATGATTTCAGTCTGCAACTTAAGATCGGCGAAGGCGGCTTTGGGAGCGTCTACAAAGGTACTATCAAGCCTTCTGATGGGAAGGGTGATGAGCCTTTGGTGGTTGCTATTAAAAAGCTTAACAAGAATGGTTTGCAGGTACGCCCTTTTGCTCTGCTTGGGAACCTGGAAAATTTTCATGCAAGGTTGTAGCTATGACTTTGGCTTCATAGTTGTGTTTGATCCGTATAGGGACATAAGCAATGGGTGGCTGAAGTTCAATTTCTCAGCGTAGTCGAACACCCCAATCTCGTCAAGCTCATCGGATACTGCGCTGTCGATGGAGAAAGAGGGATCCAGCGTCTTCTGGTGTATGAATTTATGCAAAATAAGAGCTTAGAAGATCATCTTTTCCGTCGTGTATTCCCACCTCTTTCCTGGAAAACAAGATTACAAATAATACTTGGAGCAGCACAAGGACTAGCATATCTGCACAACGGCTTAGAAGTTCAGGTTCGTTTCTAAAACACGAACTATGCATTCTTTTGGGTGATATTTATATCCTGTGCATCTAAATCTATGGTTTTGACAACAATGGAAGATCATATACCGAGACTTCAAAGCCTCCAATGTGTTATTGGATGAGAATTTCAACCCAAAACTTTCGGATTTCGGGCTTGCAAGGGAGGGACCAATGTCCGGCCGTACGCATGTTTCAACAGCGGTTTGTGTTTCTGTTCTCTGTGGTTTGAATAACATGAAACATCCTATAGCTTGTGTATGATGCTCACAAGGTTTTATTACTTGTGATCAGGTCGTAGGGACATACGGTTATGCTGCTCCCGATTACATCGAGACCGGACATCTAACAGATAAGAGTGATGTATGGAGTTTCGGGGTGGTATTATACGAGATACTCTCCGGCAGGCGGTCACTGGAAAGAGGGCGTCCAAAAGCAGAGCAGAAATTATTGGATTGGGTGAAACAATTCCCTGCTGATAGTAAAAAGTTCAGCTTAATAATGGATACTCAACTCGAAAACCAGTATTCAATCAGATCGGCTCGAGAAATTGCTAAGTTAGCAGATACTTGTTTAGTAAAAAGTCAGAAGCAGCGGCCCAAGATGAGTGAAGTGGTGGAGAGACTAAAGCAGATAATCCAAGTTTCAGAGGACGGAAACGCCGAGAAAATTGAGAATCCTTTCGAGGCAGGCGAAACAGACGAGAACTCGAATAATTCGGATAACGGAGTGACGGAATCATGGAAGAGGCGGATGGCACACCTTGCGAGATTGGGAGAGCATGTAGAAGGTGCAAGTAGGAGGAGATTGATGATGTTGCAAAGGGCTAAAGCGCCTGCCCTTCATTAGCGTTGTATAATGGCCTACCTAGTTATACTAATCACTGTAAAATATGAATTTTTATTATCGGTAGATTGATAGTATTTATTTATCCGATGCCACTCCCCATTATAAACATCCAAACCCTCAACCATCAAACCCCAGAAAAAAGAAAACAAAATACAAATTTCTTCTTTGCTTTGTTATGTTTACTCAAAATTGATACATCGTTACTGGATTAGGCCACAGCAACCGTGTCGGCCCGTACAGTTTTGTTATCGGAAGAGTTCTGAGCATCCGATTTCCTTAGAGATCTACCGGATTTCCAGTTCCTCTCCCTCGCTTCATCGATCTCAATCTGTTCTCCTCTACACTCTTTGCTGCAAAACGGTGTATTCCCTCTGAAAAAAAAATCAAAATTTTCCATTTTAACTAAAATCTCATATCTGACCACGATTCAATGAATTAAAAACGAATAATCATCGACTAACCTGTACATGAAAATATCGGAATTGTGAAGCGATTTGCGGCAAAGAGAGCAGGCATCGAGGTAGTGGGCATCGTACTGATTTTGGCAGCCAGAGTAATAATAATAATAACCCGACATGATTCACTGATATCGATTGATTTATAACAAAACAACACAAAGAGAAAAGAAAAGAATGACCAAAGCTGCAAATTTGCAGTTTGAGAAGGAACAGTGGGTGTGCCTGTGAGCGAGAACAGAGAGGTAGAAGCAGTTCAAGCTTGGTTGCTTTATTTAAAGGATACGGGGCCTCCTCGAGACTTTTTTAAAAGGGAAAAGCTTTGACTTGAGGCAATCAAGTACAACACGCTCCATTATATAAAACATAAGTCCCATCTTTAATTACAGGTGTTTGAATTTTATTGGAGTATTGCAAACGTAATGATGCGCTCCTTTCCCCTACAAGTTATATTTATATTTTATTTTTTAGTGGTAATAATTTATGAATAGGTATAAAATTCAATATTTTTTTGCATGTTTTTCAGTTGAGTCCTCTGTATGTTGGGTATTTCTTGTACAACCCCGTGAGTTTTCTTATTTTGTTTTAAAATATTTGGATTCTCTTCTCTTGGCTCTTGGGCACGTGGCCATGGAAATAAATAATGTAACTGGTTTGCAATAATCATTGAGCATTGACCTTGATGAGATGCTCTTTTTCATTAATTGCTTAGTATTACATGTTTAATTAACCTAATTGCTCCATTAAGTTGCCAATTAATTCCTTTCATTAGTTTCATTTATTATGGTTCATTGAACTCAACTCTTAAGCGGTACTAAGCTTTACACATTTGTTAATTAAAAAATGACATTTAAATACACATAAGTGAAACATGTAGCAAATATTGCATTTATGCTGTCATTGGCTGTATTCATACATAATGGTCCATAGATTATGTCGCAATTCTTATACAAATCAGCTGCCCTTTCTTTGTTTTCGCATATGATTTGATTGACCGTGAACTCATAATTTTTCTATTTTTTGAGGAGGTAATTAATATTTATTAAAAAAAGAAATATTTAGATTTATAATGAAAATTTATGATTTTAAGCGTAGACTAAATATATAATTTGGATATTTTCTTATAATTATTGATAAAAAATCTAGTCATTTAAGATTACACAATTATTATATAAGAAAAAAATTAAAAAACTAACAAAAAAACTCAAATAAAAGATAAATACAAACAAATCCGGTTGCATTAATAAGCAAACCATAAAATATGTTTAAATTAGTGAAAGATCAGTGACAATCAGAGTCAAGCAGTGTGATAAAACTATCCACAAATATAAATCGTGTATCTAAATCTAATATGAGGTCTAAAACAGAGAAGATCAACATCGTAACAAATAAGTATCATTTTGATCAATCGTGATGATGTCAAATTCAACCCTGAGAACAAAGATAATAAAAAACAACATCCAAATGACCAAAAATGTACAAAAAGATAGAAAAAATACTATAAAGATAGAATAAAAATGTATTATAAAGATATAATTATTAATAGCTAAAATAATAATAAAAATTTAATATAAAAGAATAAAAAATATTGACGATAATAATTAATATTAAAGCTTCTGTTTCCGGCGCCTATCAACCAAATTGAAAAAAGAAATAGACGATTTTGTGATTTTTTTCTAAATTTTTTTAGATAGAAAACCTAAAAGACAAGTGAACCTACACAATTAAGTAAAGAATAATGATGGGCGATAATAATATTTTCAAGTTTTTGGAAACTAACTGAAAATGTGTGGCAGTCTTAATATATAATTTAAAAAAGTGTTATTAGTTTTATTATTATTTAAATAATAAAATAGGTAAAAATGATTGAATTTTTTTTTAATTTTGTTATTATTGAACGTTTTACTGGATTTAAAAAATGTTATTGGTTTTGTTATTTTTTCTATCGATTTTGTTATTTTAGATATTTTTATCAAAAATATTAAAAAATAATATTATTTAAATAATAACAAAACCGATAACATTTTATTTTAACTTTATATTAAGATATCGCACCGTAAAACTTCCAAACTAACAGACGAGATGGTAAATATAAATCATTGAGAGCAGTGCTTAGCAATTATGGAGGAGGAGAATGGGGACAATATGGAGATCTCATTAATTTTGATTTTCATATTATAATAAAAAGGGGGAAATTGTGTGTGGGCGCTTAACGATTCTTCTGGAGAGGACTTGGACCACTAGTGTTTTATATTTGTGGGGTCCACAATTTGTGAGTAAGATAAATTTTATATTTAGTATTTTGATTATTATTTTTGTTTTATTTTAATCATTTAACTATTTTAAAAAGAAATTATATATAACATGACGATTTGATAATCAATCATTAAAAAATAAAAGAAATTATATTATTTTATGGTGACAAATCAGAAACATAATTAATATTTTAACAGTTGGTGTCTAAAATGAAAGTAAAATTAAATGTTAGACATAAATTTAAAAAATAGTTGAATGATCAAAACAGAATAAAAGTAATAGTTAAGATATTAAACGTGTAATTTACCCTAAATGATGGAGCTGAGTAGACGTTGGCCTCACATGCCCAAACAAAAGCATCTAATAATTGGGCCCGCCTGACGCATTACCTCGTTGGCCCTTTTTCCTAGGTTCTTGTCTCCGGGGCCCACAGATATTGCCCGTGTACCCCGGGCAGCCATAAACTTTTTTAAAGCCCGGGACACGTGCACCTCGATTGGGAATGAGGGATTACCAGCATAGCTCACATCGAATCATCTGCACGTGCTACGTGGCGGTTAAGTGGAATGATATTCTGACTTCTAGGAACGGTCACGTTTCACTTTGCTCAATGGCGGATCCGGTGCCAAGCTGGACCCGTCACGTAATGGAGTGAATTATTGAGAGGTCTAGTAGATGCGGTGGGAGCCCAGTGGCATAGGCTTCTTGTTTCCAATTCCCATCCCTCACGTTGGAGCACGTGCATGTCGCGTGAAGTTTTTGCCCGGCCGTTGCCCATTTTTATTTTACAATTACAACCAGATTCTATTCTGTCTTAACAATGCGTATTTATTTTGATAAATTATATTTCTAATTCAATTCTCATGTTTTTATACAATTACACATAAATTATTGTATTAATTGATAGCAATAGAAAAGTTCATCGAAATAATTTAATTATATGTTTGATAATAGAATAATGCCTTTTAAAAAATATATAAAAAATTATCTAATTAAAATATTAGTAAAAACAAATTATTTGCTATTAAATATTAATGACGAAATTTGGTATAATATTAATTTTAATTATTAAACTTTATACAAACTATCAATTTTATCCTAATTCAAAATAATTAAATATATTTATCTCTTTATATATTAATTTTTTACTATTTTAATATTTATAATTTTCCTCAATTGCTTATTTTTTTAAAATTGTTATATTATTTTCATGTTATAATAACAATTTAAGGATAATTTGTTATTGTTTTTATGACATAATGCAATTATCCAACAGATGGTTTGATTTGATGAGTTCGTTCGGGTTGACAGTATTAAAAAATAGTACATTGATAAAAAAAATTATATATGAATACTTAAATTTATTAATTTAAAAGTTATAAAATAGTCTATCGATTATATGGTGTTATTTTGTTGAATCTCATACTATTAAAAGTTACAAAATAGTCTTTTAATGATAGGGTGTTGTTTTGTTAAATCCCTCAACTATTAAAAATTATAAAATGACAATCCGACTATTTATATATTCTAAACTCATAACTTTCCGTTAAAAAATTGGCAGTCATATGATATGGACATTAACCTGCTGATTGAAATATAATAAAATCTTATTTTAATGATGTTTACTGACAACGATGTTGCTTTAAAGCAATGAATTGATGACAAAATATAAACAGATAGTCATTCCACTAAATATAGTTCAAACAATTATAGGATCAGATTTAATCATATCTCAGTCAACATATTAACATATAACTCAGACGATCGTCAATTCTTTATCAAAAAATGGCGAGTTAAAAACATATGAATCGTCAAATGATCATTTTGTAACTTTTAATAGTCAAAATATTCAACAATATAACGCCTTATAGTCGAAAGATAATTTTATAACTTTTAAAAATAGAGAGATTCAACAAAGTAATATCATACTATTGATGGGTCATTTGTGTAATTTACTCAATAAATTAAATGACATGAATAACGCTCTTAAAACAAATTTGCTACTCTCATCCGTCTTTGTCACGTCATTTTGTTTGCAGGGTTTCTTCCTCTAAGGAAAAAAAGAACAAATTTGACATGACTCAAGTTGAGAGGACTGATTAACAAAATTGTTAAAAGGTACTTTATTAAGCACATTAATTATAATCAACAATTACAAAGTGAGGTACTTAGTTTAGTGGAATTGAAAAGTACCTTTACTAGTTGTTGATCGACAGTGATTGTGATTTGTGAAAATAAATCAAAGCATTGAGCCACCCACTTGCGTAGCGCCCATCATTGGCACAGTGGATTACCACAATAGGCTGTTGTTTCGAATAACATTGCTAGTTGCTACTTGCACCTCCGATTTTCCATAATCAAATCTGATTATGAGCTTAGTTTAATATAATATTTATTTTTTATGAATAGTCAATGGTAATTATGTTATATCTAAAAAAAATTGAGTAAGTGATAATTTTTTATATATATATATATATATATATATATTACTGATACAACTATTTAAAGTTAAGGTCTCTAAAGATAATAACATTCTCTTTTATCATCGAAATTATTTAATAAATTCAAATTTAATGTTATATTTATATTAGTTATATATTACCATGTTTTCTATTATATTTTTTTCGTATTATGCATATACATGAAATTGTCAATTTCATATATATTATCTAATTCTATTTTAGAAAGTATGACTTGGTCGAAATACGTTATTTCACAAGATTCAACTCCTATTGGGATGACACCTTATCGCAACTGATGAAGCTTTGCAGGCTGTGTATGTTGCTGCCACTACTATCTCAACATAGTATGCTTCTTCTTAGGCATTGCAAACATGTCGATGGACGAAACCTTGTCTAGGGACCCATAAAATTAGCGTTGTTAGAGTCTTTCTGAGGTTCACTAGCTCTCCAACCGTCGAGATCATTGTGAGTGATAGTGATGACTTTGTGGTGACGGATTGTGCTTTCTCTATCCTTAATTACTGTTGAGAAAAAAACGAATATATATAAGAATATATATTTCTCTTTTTATGTGAT